TTTCTGTAGGCATTATTGTCCGACTCGAAATGAACACCGTTACTGAGAGTTTCTGATATTATCATCATTCCGTGAGATGAAATTGTCTTGAGAGACTGACCGCGAGCTCATGACATGAAGCTCCGCCCCCTGTGCCGGCAGCAGCAGCTTATTTGCATTTAAAGGGCACGTCCACTAAAACAGCACATTTTTCTGAGCCCCCAAAAAATGACAATTTAAACATGCTGTAAAAAATGATCTGTTGGATATTTTGAGCTGAAACTTCACATACACATTCTGGGGACATCAGAGACTTATTTTACTATTTTATCTTGTGAAAAGGGGCATAATACGGGACATTTAAAGGGCTATTTCACGTAATGGTTATTAAGATTTCGTCATCATTTACTGACCCCCATTTACCAAAAAGCCCAATTAAAGCACCATAAAAGTCCATATGATTTGTGTGTTATTTTCCTTCTTCTGAAGCCATTCAATAGTTTTGTATCAATACAAAATATACGAGGTTCATATATTTGATAGTAACTGAGAAAAGTACAGTGCGAAGACGTCTTTAGGCTTAATTTCTTCTAAAGCAATAGAATATGAATAATCCTATTATAATGTAGTAACATTTATTTATTTATTTATATAGCACTTTATGATACAGATTATTTCAAAATAGCATGGTTTTTGCTATTTAGCACAACAAATGTTCATCAATGAAACTACTTACAGCTATAAATCAACTAAGACTTACGGTTTACAGCTCAGTTCAGTTTTTATTTCTCATCTGATAGTGTCATTGTCAATATTTTCTGAATATTAATTGTCATTGAGCAAACCAAACGTTACAGAGACGAGGTTCTGGTCACATTACATGTAAAGGTGAGTAAAAAGATTATTTATTGCGAGTAGGCCTAAACAATATTTTTTTCAAGCAATTCAAAATCATCAACAATGTGTTACTGACATCTTCTGGTTACTCTCGGTACTGTCACAATTTTATCTTTCACTGTTCAAATTCTTATGTTCAGACTGGAGACAAGATGACCAACTTGTAAGATTTTATTAGCATTTGTGGTGTCAGAATTACATTACAATAATTTGAGACTGCTGTGCTCCTTAAACCCATCAAATCTTGTTTTTTATTTGGGAAAAGTGGAATCCGTATAGTAACATGTATTTTAATAGCAGGAATCGGTTTGGATTAGCTTGAAATATTTAAGGCATGCTGCTGGAGAATGTTCCAAATTCTAGTTAAAAACCTCTGGGGCAAATAAGTGTAGCCTACGTTTGTAAGAACATGCTTGAACCGCCAGCAAAACCTTCATCTTGTATAATCTAGTATAAATTCCATTAGCTGTTGTCTAACAGTAATTATGAAAGCTCTTGAAATGAAATAACTTCATGCCTCTATAACACTTTATGATTTTCATGCTTATAGACTTATCAAAAACCTTAATGTAACATCTGTTAAAAGAATACAAAAAAAGTTAGTCGTTTAATAAGGCTACAGTTTAGGCTCTGTCATAATAGCAATTTATCATCTGCAGCAAGTGATTTACTCTGCATTAAGTCTATAATTTATAGGTTAATTAATGTCACACGTTTTGGCCCTCGGGGGACAGAAAGACACAATGGTGCTGCAATTCTATAGGAGACTAAACGTAATCTCGTCTTGAAAGGGAGCCTGCTTCCAACAGCTGAAGGAATCACATCACGTTGAGAAACATAATTCTTCGGGCCTAAGGGTTGCATTGTTAAAGAATATCAGAGTAGCTTGTTCTGTGCTCCAAGATATAATTTAACAGCTTTTAAAATGTAGTAGCTCCCCGCCAAGAACATTGCAAGAGTAAGAGCAAGAGCGGGAAGACCACAACGCTTTGAAGTGTGTGCGTTTGTTACGGTTTAATCATCAGTGGAGACGCTCCCACATCATTCAGGCACATGGCTCATGTTTCATTTCCTACAGGGCAAAATGACGAGTTTATGTAGAGCTACATTTCACAGTGAGGCTCAGTAACAAATAATCTAGTTTAGAAGCTTATAGCCTTAAAACCTATTTGTGGCCTAATAGCGTTTGTTTTGGAGCATTAGCTTCACATTATGCAATGTGTAAGATGGAAAGTACATACTGAGATATGTAATACATGGAAGCTCTGACTATACCTGGAAGTAATTATTCAAATTTAGCAATTTAAGTCAATAAAGTAGGTTTTAGGTTGAAGGTAATGGTGATGGTGGGGTATGGGCATGTTATGGACAACGAACACAGGTTTAATTTTTTTATGGCATTTTTAATGCATAGAAATACCGTGATGAGATCCTGAGGCCGATTATTGTGCCATTAATCAACGACCATCACCGAGAAATTGCCATCGTTGAAATTATTTGCAGCAGACGGACTCCATGTGTTCGTAGTTCACAGTGAGAGCACATGCACAGCAGTCCGTCTCAGCTCGAGCCGGTCCTCGATCGCAACAGGCAGCCGCCTCCTGTTCCTCCATCAGCCTCAGCTGCTCTTCACTATACTGCAACTCGTAAAGATAGCCACGAACATCGGATTCCAGCAGCAGAATTTCAAGATCCTCTTCTTCCATATCATGTTTAGTTTCTTCCATGATTATCATAGGCTTCTTCCTTTCTTCACAGCGCTTGTTAGCTTAGCTTCCAAACAAGGCCTGTAGGGTGAGTGGGTCCCACACCCTTGAATAATAATGAGCTAATGTTTGTAGTCTCTACACATTTTAATGAAATATGACTTCCTGGTTATTTTGACGCAAAATGACGATTTTTACGTTGTAATAAGCAGGAAGTAAAACACTTAAATCCTTATTTCTCCCATCTCAGGGGAAAATAAGGTAATAAACCATGACCATTCAGAGATACGACTGGGTTTCTAAAGATACAAAGCTTAATGCAAATGGGTGAAGTAAGTTAAACTGTAGTTTTGTCAATCAACAACGCCATAGCTGGTTCGGTGAGTCAGCTGTTTGTGTGAGGCTAACTGTACGTTCACACCGCCCCTGCAAGAGTGGCAAAATTCATTGAAAAATGAATGACTTCTGGGCACTTTGACGCTCTCAACAGTGGCGGTGTAAACGCAGCAACAACAAAAAAGTGTGTGATTGGTTGTTTTGAGGTTTGTGACATCTATAGTTTTCAATAAGAACAGATTATTTACGGTGGAATTAATACTGCTCGATTATCTAAATAAAACCTTGTCTGCTTTACACAATTGAATCTCCTTCACCTTGGACTTAATCAGTCCATAGTTATGCAGCTAGCTCGCTAACAGACTTGATAGCTACTAAAAAGACCTGGAACTACAGGACTCTACATTGAAAATACCATTTTTTTGCCCGCCAGGCATCCATGGTAGTCACTTGACTGCAAAGTATGAATTGAGCATGTTTGGGATGCTCTGGATTGGCATTTACAACAGTGTTCCAGTTCCTGATAAAATCCAGCAATTTCACACAGCCATTGAAGAGAAGTGGACCAACATTCCACAGGCCACACTCAACAACAGGCAGATGGTGGTGACACCAGATACTGAATGGTTTTTGAATGGTTTTTGCTGTCTTTGCTGAAGGCTCCGTCCGCACTACTGCGTTTTCGTTTAAAAACGGAGAATTAAAACAAATACGATGTCCGTCCACACCAGCGTTTTATCTGCGTATTAGAAACGATCTCCGTCCACATTAAAACGACTGAAAACGCGGATCACGTGACCATTCACCAACACTGCATGCGCGTGCCGGTGTAAACAGTGAATGACGAATCAGGGAAGGAAACGTCATGACTGATAACACCCAATTTTAGAGCCAAGCGTCAGCCTCTGCGTCAGCGTTTCTGAAGTTCTCCGTTTTGTCTCTTCCACACTAAAACGCCCTCCGTAGTTTCACAACGCAAAACGCAGCTGCAGCGTTTCTAAACTTCTCCGTTTTAGGTCTTCGTTTTTCCCGTTTTAGTGTGGACGGGAGGTGCAAACGTAGCAAAACGCAGTAGTGTGGACAGGGCCTAATAATCAGCATCTTGATATGCCACACCTGTGAGGGGGATTATCTCGGCAAAGGAGAAGTGCTCACTAACACAGATTTAGACAGATTTGTGAACTATATTTGAGAGAAATAGGCCTTTTGTGTACTGTCATCTGCTTTCTATGAGTTTCTATGAATTTATACATTTATAGAAATGCATACATGACAAGTCTTAAAAAAAGTTAACAAGTAAACAAAAAAGTTTAGCTCTTTTAAATGGAAAGACAGTCATCTTATCTTAAGATAACATTGTTTATGTATATATCCCAACATTTGCGGACCTTCATTTGTTATTATTCTTTATATTGAAAGAGTAAAAATGCAAATGACGAGTAATGGTGGGAACATTTAAAGCAATGGCTTGCCATTTAGTTCAGCAAAATGAAAAATCCTGTCACTATTTAATCGTCTTTATGTTAATTCAATCCAATTTGTTCTTTCTTCTGCTGAACACAGAAAGAAAAGTTAGGAAAAATTAGGTAGCCTACTGTGACAGCAGTTGTCTCCTTACTCTCTCACTTGGTGACTGCTTTGCACTGTTTTTTTTTCCCACAAGAATAAAAATAAGTTATACAGTTTTGACAACAACACGAGGAGAGTAAATTACACAATTTTTCACTTTAGGGTGAACTGCCCCTTTAAAACAATGAACGCATTGAAACTTTCATAACGGGATACAAAGTAGCCTATCTATTGCAAAATTCTTTAACGTTTCAACTTGTTATTACAAAACAGCAATTTGTGACTACTACACTCTGTATAATATTTCGTTCAAATAAACTACAATAGCTATAAATCTCTCTATAATTTTGCATAATCCCCTAATCTCTCCTCACTAGCACTTTCTATGACGTCTGGGGGCGTGCGCCTTTTCAGCAAATTATCAACGCATCCAACGTTGATTGGGCAACATTCTCCACGTGACTCAGACCATCCAATCGGCGGCTATAACAATGAATACATTTCCATCTTTCTAAAGGTAAATTCTGAAAAAATGATGACGTGAAACGATGAAGTCTTGCTGTGTTGTCACCATCTGTTTGCACAGGAACAAAGTGCTTCAAAGCAAACATAATGAAATAAACAGACGTGTCAAGTTTCGTGTGCGCGAAACAGCAAGGCTACATTGCACAAAGGCTCCAGACAGGAAGATATATCCTGATAACGTTTACGAAACGAGGCAAATAGCGCTGTTATTATTTTCATAAGGACTTATTGTGAAGTTCGTGATTCTTGAAGACTCTTGCGCAATATTTTACTGTAAGTAAACAATGCTTTGCCCTAATTGTAATTTTAAATAACAACACTACTTTAACAGTATGAGAAGTTGTAAACTCTCTGCATATTGATGGTGATTCTTACATTTTGTTTTATGACTTCTTATAGTTTATGCGTCTAAATGTCAGTGAATAAATGTAATTCTTTGCATACATGTGCATTTACACTTGTTTATCGTCTGTGACAGTAAGTGCGCACTAGTTCTGGGTGTCCCTCTTCTGCGCGAGGATGAATGTGGGCACGGCGCACAGTGAGGTGAATCCAAACACGCGAGTGATGAACAGCAGGGGTATATGGCTGTCATATGTACTTGGTATCGGCCTCCTACACATCATATTGCTCAGCATACCCATCGTCAGCGTGCCTGTGGTCTGGACCCTCACCAACCTCATCCACAACATGGTAAGAATGACATGTGCAGTCTCCTCTTAGAAAGTTCATCTGCTGGTGTTACCTAGAGCACTGCAATAAGATTTTAGGTCTAGGTCTAAGTCAAGCCGTGACCCAACACAGTACCAAAATTGACCAAATAATACTGAAATGTCTTTAAAATACCACGCGTGACGTCATGGACAACTTATAGGCTTAACAATATGCTAAATTATCCATGACATATTGACTGAAGAGAACATTTTCATTGATTCATGCTTTTGTGCCCAAACTGTGCAAAATTGTGCTCAAACTGTGTTTATCCTCACTGCAAGTGAACCAATTTTATATAGTTTTATATACTATTTTATACACTTTTATTTAGTATTTAATATAGTCTACATTGTCTTAAGGATGCAACCTGTCAAATTACAGATGGTGTCAAAATGACATTTGAATTTGTGCTGTGTATTTCCAATAAAAGACATTTATAAATTGATTTTATATTCTGCTGTGCTATCCTAAAGGCCCGTTTATACTGTTCGCCACAACTATAAAGTTTAATAATAGCTCTAATTCTGTGAGAATAGGGAAATCCACACCACAGCTATAACAATAATGATTTCCTGAATAATCGTTGACCGCCAATTAGGATCGATCCAACTCTAAAGAGCTCAAGCTTTTAAAAGTGGCAGATGATCTAACTAAATCATAAATAGAACCATATCATGTGTTGATGTGGGTGCTAACTTAGTTTTTGTTACAGTTATCTTTATTCTTATCGTTCTTGGTGCGAACCGGCCTTAGCTACACTTCTATAGTTGGTAGCACTGAAATGTCCTGCCCTCTGTGACCCATAACTGATCTGCAAACCACAAACCAGTAACCATTGCATTAGTTTCATAGTGTAAATGTAACACCGATGCTTTTTTAAGAAGCAGAGGTTTGAAATAATCATTTGTTTTGTGACCGCCCCCAGCTGCAGGATGTCTGAAATGCCAACATTTTTTTTTCTTGCTGAATTTTGGCCTGTTAAGTTGCTGACTCCCGGTTCTGTAATTTCAGCCAATGGCGGACTTACAGAGCCATCCTGTATCGCCTTTCTTAGTCATCCTGCTACCAAAACAGATCAGCTCTTGCTGTTGTCCTAAGAGTGGCACAACATCTGCTGATAGAGCTTTGAACAATTGTACCAAAGGTCATGATGTTCTGTGACTTGTCTTTCTGCTGTAGTGCATGTATATCTTCCTACACACGGTCAAAGGAACACCGTTTGAGACTCCAGACCAAGGCAAGGCCCGGCTTCTGACCCACTGGGAACAGATGGACTACGGGGTCCAGTTCACCGCCTCTCGAAAGTTTCTCACCATCACCCCTATTATACTGTAAGAGTGTTTGCTTTCACTCATTGCTGTTAGGAGCTTCATTCTGTTCGTCACGCCAATTTGTTCTGCACACGCTCTGTGAAGGCTTTCACAGCTTGCATTGCATGGCCATGAGCAAGAGGCAGCGATGCTGACTTCCTGTGGTGTCTGCTGGCAAGGAGAGTTGGTTTTAGAAACATTTAGTCAGTCAGTCAGGTCATTTGCTCTACTGTTCTTCTCTTCTCCTATTGCAAGGGGTTATCTGTCGGCTACAGTGAGGGATAAGGTGGTTGCTAGCCTGGCTTAGCTGTTTATTAGTCTCCCTGTCTGACCAGCAGAAAAGTACTTAAAACTACTCTTAAAGTAGTCAACAGTGGAGCTTCACCAGTCTTAGAGAGCAGCTAAGATCAGCAAACTAGGTTTAAGATATTGTTTTCAGCAGGGTTGGTTATATCCTGTGGCAATTTAATGGTGAAAAGTGGATGTTACAGTAGCATTGCTATTTTAGTGATTTTATACATTATTGGAGTATTTATTGATATTTTTAATTGGCTTTTTATTTTCAGTTTTCAAATTAATAGTAGCTTTTTAAATATTTCTATTTTGCCTCAATTTATTTTTTATTTTAGTAGCTTCAGCTTATTTCAGTTATTATAGTATATTATTAATTTAGTGGTGTCAATCAATTAAAATAAATGTATTAATCACACATTTTTCTGTAATTAAAATTAGGGCTGAGTAACGATTAATCGCGATTAATCGCATCCAAAATAAATGTTTGTGTTTACATAATGTGTGTGGTTTGTATCACTATTTTGTATATATAAATACACACTCATGCATGATATATTTAAGAAATATTTGCATGTATATACTTTATATATATTTATACAGAATTAATATTATATATAAATATAAATATTTAATATATTTACAACACATTTTTCTTAAATATATATATATGCATGTGTGTGTATTTATATATACAAAATAGTTATACACACTACACACGCATACAGTATATTATGTAAACACAAACTTTTATTTTGGATGAGATTAATCGTGATTAATCGTTGCCCAGCCCAAATTAAAATGCGATTAATCACACCTAATATTAAAGTTTTTCATAAATGTTTATTTTGTAATACTTTCACATTGAATCTCCAAAATCAACAGAAAAAATGATATACTTAAAATATTTGTTTAATGCCATCTTTTTACCAAGCGCTATGAATGAAGGCCAATGTTACTGATACTGATGTCTCCATTAAATGGATTTTCCCCCTCAATTTTAGCTATTAATTGTAGCCATTCAACATAACAATATCATTGAAAGCTATCAAATTAAACATTAATAGACTTATTAAATATAACATAATTGTTTTTTTTACATTTTTAAAAAATAATTTTACATGAACTTAAAAGAATCTTCATATTAGCCCATTGTAATAAATGTCACATTTAGCAGTGCCTTTTAATTTATCATGTTTTAAAGCTACGGTTTTTATCTACTGGTCCCGTCGTCGAGCCAGGTCAGATTTTAACTTGCCCTGCTAAAATAAGTTATTATTTTCATTGTTTTTGACCCATGTAACCTTGAAAACAGTGCTTTATGATTTCAGGTCTAACAGGTCAAATCAAGTCTTCACTGCACAAATTATAAATTAAATAAAGATTAATACTCATTAAAGCTACAAAAGTGATTCAGTCAAGAGCAGTGAGTGATTGTTTGTTGTTCTTTGATTAACATTAACGACAGACAGCAGCAGGTTTATTAGGCTGCGTTAGGCTCGTTTTAATGCGTTTTGACAGCTCTAATTATTAAATTACATTATATTATATTATAGACACTATTTTTCACCTTTGTTTAGAATACTACTATTTATTATTAATGTAAATATGTCTGTTTTGATTTGGATTTTAAATCATCTTTTTGTAACATTGTTCCAGCATGAAGAAACCACATCCTGTCTTCCCATTAGATGCCGTGTTGTGCTGCGCTTGAGCAACTTCTGTCGCCTCTGCATCTGAGCATCTCATGTTGCTGTCTGACATCTGACTTGATCTTGTCCTTGTCCTTCCCCTCTACAGGTATTTCCTGACCAGTTTCTATACAAAGTATGACAGGGTCCACTTCATCATCAACACCATTTCCCTGCTCACCGTGCTTGTCCCCAAACTTCCTCAGTTCCACGGGGTCCGTCTCTTCGGAATTAATAAGTACTGATGCGGTTTTGATCTTCAACACAGGAGGATGTGTTGACACACAGGGCGCTTCATAACGTACTCTGTGGAAATAAAAAAAGGGAGAAATATAGGGCTTCTTTGGATGCTCTGCTGCTTTGCGGTCAAACTGACTGAATAATCTGCTACGGCATCACTTTTATTGATGTTTTTTTCTATAACATTTGTTAGATAAAAACACATTTCTAGAACCACCTGCAGAATTCAGCAGATGAGGGTCTCTGGAGATGTTAGGACCTCCGTTCTACTTTGTTGAAACAGACAGCATTACGTCATGTGGTGGAGCTTTGTCACTTTGGCAGAAATGCTGCGTTGATGCAATGAATCTGATGGGTCAAAATGATCTGTTTCATCATGTCTTCTTAACTGTTTTGCTGGCCTGACTCAGCATGTCCCAATGTTCAGCATTGGGAAAAAAGAAGAAAGGTACTGAAAGAGTACAAGGATATTTTTAGCCCAGGTGCAAAAGACTAGCTTCAATCCCATACATTGTCACCCTGTCCTTAGAAAACTTCTGCCAGCCCTTTATTTCAAACCTTAAAACTTGTTGAATTTTAAATACAGTATGATTAGCATATTTTAAACAGATGTTGGTTGCAGTGATATATCTAGTGTGTAACTAGAGCCCTAAAACCTTTCTCTCTTTTATAACATGCACTTAATATTGAGTAATAAAATGACTTAGCTGGATGCATGGGAAATAAAAACCTCTAAGAACTTTGGGTGGGGAGCACCAGTACAGGGAATATTGGATTGGATCCTTTTTTCGCCAAGAGAGAAACTGCAGTTGACCTTTGGGTCTGTACGTCACGTCCCAGTGAGTCAGGATAACTTCAATGTTAATGCAGTTTACTAAAGTACAGAATATTTCTGTGAAGCATCAACATAAAATAATTGGATGTTTAAGTGCTTATCATTGGTTATTAGCAATCACCATGTTATCATTATGCTGGTTCACAAAGGCAAAATTCAGTGGCTACACTGAAACAGAATTTTTTTAATTGCATTTTGATTTACAATTTAAGCAACCATGAGTGCAAACCCATCTACCACAGATTTCTGCATTTTTGCAAAGAACAGTATGGACCAGTGGACTGATGACACAGGCCCTGTGATATGCATTTTGCATGACATCATTTCTAATAATTCATAATTGTATTTTTTGTAACAAAAAGTTGAACTGGGATGATGTATGGTCTGTGACTAACCTCACAGGTGTATTCCTGGTACTTACAGAGCAAGATTCTGAAAAGGTTGCTTTGAAAATGACATTGCTTGCATGTTTAGTAGCAATTTGTTACAAGGGTGTCTCAGTCATGCTCTCTGTGAATATTATTTTATTGCTGCCTCTCTTCTGTGTTCTGGATTACAGTCAGAACAATTGTGTTAACAGTAATCCTGCATGCATGGAGCGACACCTTATCTAGCAAATCAGTTGACCTTGAATCCCATATTTGTTCTTATCACAGTTTGCTTTTGTTTGTACATCATATTCTCTGTGTTATACATTTCATGACAGATGCTTGCTTAGTGTTGACATTATCAGTATTTGCAATAAAACTTACTATTATAACAATGATAGAAACTGTATTATTTGCCCTCTCACATTAACGTAAAGTCAGCCTTACTGCATAGTTGAATTACTTCATACTTGATTTGTTGACACTGACTTTTGCATTCTTGTTTATTTGCTTAATACAATTGCAGATTAACATTGTGATGGATGATTAGAGTTCATTTGTTCATCGACTGGGCTTCAGTTCTCATTATGTGCAGATGGTTTGAGACTCATTTGACTGGCTGCATCAATATAGCTAAAGGGACGTTCCCTGATATGTGATTTCATCACGTACTGTATAGTACATTTACAAAGCTATTTTACCTACATGATTGTTAGAGTAAATGGCCAAGCAATGAATCTTAATGATTTTGGAACTGTACTCATGCGAAGTTGGTCAGTTGTGACATGGCAATCTGAGGTGTTGTGTTCTGTGTACCGTGGTTAGCTGGTTAGGACGCAGAAAAAAATTGAGTTTAGGAGTTTAAGATTTAGGGGTTTTCCCAACAGAAGACAAAGAAGAAAGACTAGATGAAATGCATACATTTCTTATATGTTTATAATCTTTAATACCAATGCCAAGTATGGCAAGCCATTTTAACATTTAATCCCAGTAGTCCAGTAGTCTCTATTTCCATGCTACTAGTACTTATTTTTTAGATACTAGTATCTAGTACTAGTACTTATTCATTAGCTACTGGTGCTTATTTATCATTTCATTCGTCCTGAATGGAATAATGAGCTGTGTTTACTGCAGCCCTGAGAGGACTACATATTTTTATGATCTCTTTTTCGGAGTACTTACATTGTAATTATGCATTGATCTATAATGACAGAGTTTAAACAAATTTGGGGAAAAAAGTTTTTATTAGACAAAAACTACCAACCCTATCTTTAAGCAGACAGTTTAATAATACTCCAATGAGAGTTAGTTCAAATGACTTGTAGTTGCAAAGTTAGTCAAACTTATGCTACCAAAAGAAATCAAAATATGGGTAAAAACCTCTTCAGTAGCTACATTGGACACTATTTTTACAAACAATTCTAGTGAGGTGTCTAGATGTTAAAATATGAGCTGTCCAACTGAAATGCTTTTGATTATCCGTTTGTGTAATGTCAAAGGAAATGTATTTTCTCCCTTTTATCATGCGGACAGGTAGCCTGACTTCATCATACTCATATTCTAGTCAGAATGTCTGATACTGCTCCATAGGACTTTGATTATGAGGCGTGTCTTAACCAAAAAACAACAACTCTGCATTCAATTGGATAGACCTACAACTAATCAGAGCAACATTACGTTTATTTTTTATTTTCTTTTTTTTATGAGCTGCGCAAAGTTGTCAACTGAACTTAACTACACGCAGAAGTAGTAAAATAATGAGTGTTGCTTCTTTTACTTGGTCCTCCATGAGTGCGACCAAATGGGAAACCACAACGATCACAGGGCTTTCACTATGCCATCTTCTTAGCAACCTTCGGAACCAGCTGATAAAATAAACTTTTGCCGAATCCCGTTGGAAGGATGGCAAAGACATCTTTCCGATTGACAAATGCCTTGAATGCAGTTCTGTTCGTCTTTTAAAATTAATGCGTTGTCGATTTTATACATCTCAATTCTCCAGCTGCAGTCATCTTTGAGGGAAACCAGTTCAACCTAAGCGCTCTTTGATAACGTGCTGATTACGTAACTGTAGATCATCTGTCCATCACCGTATAAAGCCTGCCAGTGCCAGAAGTAAAAATTCAATACAATTTCTCCATTGACAGTTAGGATGTTAGCCATTAAAACGCAACCATACTTGGTAGACTTAAAAACCAGCTACGGCTGTACTAAGTGATTGTATACAGTATGCTCATATAAACGCCAAAAGATTATGGGGCACTAACCTTGTTTTAAGATAAATGCCTTTTATTCGCAATGTATTAGATAAGTACTTCATTACCCACAATCCTGAACAATCCCACAGTGATGCATCTGATTGGTCAACATGACATCATGACTTTTGCGTAAACATACACGCCACTTTCAAGTCAAGCTATCCGCGTGTATGCATGTATACGCCATACGACTCGAAACCGACTCAGACTCAAACAGAGCTTGATGTGACGTAGATGTGACGTGAGCAACCCGTCTGTCTTCTAGTGGCTGTGGCATGAGAAATCTGAATCATTCCCTTCTGAAACTTGCAGAGGCGAAGAGTATGAGTAGGAGCTGTCCATGAGCTAGGAGCAGGAGACACTTTTGCTAGGTATTCTGATTAATTATTTTGTCATTTTGCCTCCACGTTTCCCTGATTGCCCGCGAGCTTCTCCTCCTGTCCATACGATAATCTCTCTACTGTGCGACAGAGAGTTGTTTTATTATGACGCAATCGTTAGCCTACTTACAAAAAAACTGCTTCTACGGGGCCATAACATAAGCCACAAGGTAATGGAGCATTTTATACATTGTCGTGTTTCTTTAGAAATAAATAATGGACAAATGGAGTCTTCAAACCCTTTAGATGTAAAGTTGTTCGCTGTCAAAGTGACGCCAAAATGAATGGGAATCAATGGAAATGCTAACGCAAGTGAAGTTTTGCTACAAGATGGCAGCTCCCGCGAGGCTTCAACTTCCAGTGGATGGATTACCCCCTTGGTGGCTTCAGTCAACTTTAGTGAGGGGCAGTGGTTTATGGGAGGAGTAGTTCCTTTGCTCGGAAATGAAAATATGTACACAGGCTTGTACCCTTGACTTTTTTGGGGGATTTTCTCTTCGTTTTTTTCACTCGAAATGATATGTTGTATGCTTATGAGTTCAGCCGTAGCTGTTTATCCTCAGACATGCTCTAATACTCTTTAGATATGGATTTGACAAAATGTCAATGGGAGAAATGAATGGGAAATTTACCAACGCTCTCTCGGGCTGTGGGCAGGACTGTGATGCTCTATTACTCAATGGATCGAGTCCAGACCAAACTTCCCTACCAAAAAAATATTGTGGGCGGGGTTCAGGCTGGCATCCAGGCTAGTGGACAGCAAAAGAGCTGCAAAAGAGTACCTGAGTTGACCACTAGGTGTCAGTGCAGCTGCTGCAATAAAAAGACTTTTATGCAAACAAGGTGGGATTGCCAACTAAATAATTTACTGATAACTATTCAGTGTAGTTTGTGTTTAGCACAGAGACAGAATGAAATGGGCATAGATTATTTTTTAAAGATTGTTAACAGCCTTCCGTTTTTCTGGATCTGACTATGATTGTCATGAAACAAAACTGGATATTGTTCTCTTGGCAGCTTTCACAAATCAAATGTCCTTGAATGTAGTCTCATTGATAATGTAGGTAGGCTAATCATCTTATCTTGTGCTGTCTTTGAAGGCCACTGTCATATTCCACGCATTGGTCTTCAAAAGGCAGTCTATTATTATAATTTTTTTGTATTTAACAATGATTCTAAAAAGGTAGCGACGTAGCTTCTGTACCATATTTAACAATGCATTGCCTACCTATAATATGCCTTTTCTTAAAAAACAAAACTTAAATGTATCAATATGTGTTTAGGCATTGTAAATTGCAAAACTAGTAAAAGTAGGCTATGTCAATACGTGTAGGCCTATAGTATACTCTATATATTATAATAGGCTAAGCTATAAAGTTTTATATAGCCTACAATATGTAACTTCTCCATCTTCACCAAGGGATCCTTGGCCTAAAGTTTGAAGACTCCTGTTCTTCTTGAGTACACTTCTGTTTTGTAGTATGTAGTGTCTGTTTCATTCAGCAGGGGGCAGTATATACCACAAATTGACGCTAATCCAAAGTGACATTTGCCACCTAAAAATAGGATTTGCCTAGAGGATAAAGGCTCTTTATATTCATTACATTTTAGCCGAGATATTCAGCAGATGTAATATTTTATTTTAGAGAGTAAAATTAATTGCTGTTAACAGGGATATTTTATCACCTTGGTTTACTGAACATTTGAATCAGTAGGCTACCAAGGATAATGCAAGACTCTGTGATCTTTCATTTGAAAATACACAAAGGCGGCTTTATATTTTGCCACCCACAGCTTTCATTCTGTCTTTCTTTATGTCATCAAATCCTCTCTCTCTCTCTCTCTCTCTCTCTCTCTCTCTCTCTCTCTCTCTCTCTCTCTCTCTCTCTCTCTCTCTCTCTCTCTCTCTCTTTCTCTTTCTCTGTCAGTTTCTACCCATCAGTTCAGTCAGCTGGATGGGAACATGGCTTAAATCTGTGCACTGGGAACACAGGGAACCCCATGGGTTTTAAAATATTCCTCACTTTCCTTTGCAATGCGTTGTGGCATTTGAAGTTGCTCCTCTTCTGACAGAAACGTGATCTCTCTGATTTAAGGAGCTCACTTTGAAAGGAAGCACATGTTTATTAAAAAAAATCAGCTTTCAAAGCTCAGGATGTAAAATATAGATGCCTTGTGGTGACTTATAAACTGAAACTGGGGTAAGTGGATTACATTTACACATTTTAAAATAACTCAACAAAATGAGGGCTATGTGAGGATTGTGTCCCCCCGTGTGTGAGGGCATGCAGGAGACTCGGACACTGAAGTCATGTCCCACTATCCAAAAAATAGAACTAGGGTAGGTTGCAGTAAATTATGGATATAAATAGAGTTGCCCCTGATTAGGTGCAAACATGAAGAATTGATCCCTCCAGGATCTCTATGATGGAGAGGACAACCACTGCTTTGGAGAGAGGCCCAAAAATTAGATTTTAAAGTAGGAAAGCATATGAATGGGAAGTAAACTTAGTGGCTATGTGTCACATTGTTTGGCATTGACAACCATAATTAATAACTGGTGTCTATCAAGGTGCTATCACATCAACAAAAGTTTGCAGGCAAAAAGGTCCCTTGTTTACTTATAGAAAAAAAAACTCTCAAACCAAGGAGCTTTTTGTTGGTTAACCTATTGAATTTATATTTAAATGTCTGGATTTGGCCAAAATTTGCCAAACAATGAGAAATGTGACTATATCTTCAGACTGTCCTGTTCACAGT